GTCATTTAACATAATAATTTTGAATATCAAATGATGGTTTTATCTAAAAAAGTATAAATATTCAATCACACATTAATTTATTTACTATCATTAATAAAAAAAACATATCCTTGCCTAAAGTATTTTAAATCCATCTACTTAAATGACGATTATATTTTTAAGCAAACTGTTTTTGTCTGAAATTCTTGGATGAACATTTGTCATTATTTACATGCTAACTATTGTCCTAATCTTTGTTGTAGCTATCAAAACATTTCGACCGTTTAACCTTCCGACTCTCATCAGGTGTATGTCGATCCGGGAAACCTACAATGACTTTCAGACTGAACAAATTATTATTACTTTAATTCACTATAGCATACACGGATCAGCATATGACTGGGAAAGACCAAATTTTACAATGGTCGAAATGAGATAAACAACAAAAACGAAGAGGACAATAGTCCTTTAAATGACGTAAATTTCACGTTATTTAATTTTATATAAGCATCGCATTGTACTAAGGTTGACAGACAAAATATTCACTATATATATATATATTATAAATTAAGTGATTTAAAATATGTTTTTCCCTACACAGTAATAACCACGTTTCAAAAACTGAAGCTAAAAACTTTAAATTTAATTATAAAATTAAATTAAAAGCATTAGTTCCATTTCATCGTAAGCGAATATTGGAATAACTTATTTAAACGCACACATAAATTCATAATTTCCTGTTTCCAAGGATAGAGAGAAATCCAGTCATTTAGACAGGGGTGGTAGCGTGTTCATTTTTATTAACTATTGTTGCATTTATGATCTGCAAATTTACATTGAGCACTCCTTTGTAAAAATAAAAATAAAAAATATCAATAAGAACAGCGGATTATATATCTTACTGTTTTCTTTTATATATATATATATATATATATATATATATATATATAGAGAGAGAGAGAGAGAGAGAGAGAGAGAATGAGCCGGGCCGTAAATGGTATAGCACATCAGATTAAATGATTCGATTTCTGTCGAACAACAAATATTTTCTACGAAGATTTACACCAGTAAATACTATTTAATTAAAACAGAACATTTACTTAAATAAATTGTATATAAAATAATAATAATAATAATAATATATATATATATATATATGTCGGATGACCCATCGTTCAATCTATTCGACTCTTACCCCAACCAGGCAGTGTCACAATTTTTCATATTCACTTATCGGATCATTAGTTATTTTATTCTGCCCTTTGCTAAAAATTGTTTGTGTGTTGCGACTATATATATATATATATATATATATATATATATATATATAATATATATATATATATATATATATATATTTATGTTTGTATGTATGTATGTGTGTGTGTGTGTGTGTGTATATATATATATGTGTGTGTGTGTACATATATATATATATAAACAAATACACACAAAAATAATCACACACACACATATATATATATATATATATATATATATATATATATATATATATATATATTTTTAAAACATCTATGACTAAAATTCTTGATGGTTAGAGAATGTAAACTGATGCTTCTCCCGATCTAGCACGACATACCCAGTGGATAAAAATTGGCTATTGGTTACATTCAATGCCTCGAAAGCCAACTTAATTTCATTCCACCATCTTCGATCGGACCCCTAACTACCACCAGTCACGATGAACGAATGTCCCCTCGGAGATAGATCCTGCCTTGAAAGACTATTTAGCCTTTAACCTTACACCTGACCTCAAGTAGACCGCGTATATAATGATGCAGATAAAATCCTCGCTTCACTGTACTGATCCATTCAGCACATGATTCCACATGCTATCTTCTACTTTTACAAGAACAGGAATGGCCAAGAACTGTTGTCATATTTGGGTGGGAGCTGTCCATTTCACACTTTCAGGCTTAGATAAAGTCCAAAAATCTCTTTGTCCTTGTGTCTGAAAAATTATTTTCTACCCTAAAACAATCTGGTGGCAAAATTCTCGCTAGCCTATCGTCTACTTCCCGTTCTACATGTTCGGACGAACTATATTTCTTGAATCCGCCTAGCGTAATTTTCACGACAAGGATCAAATATATATCGCATTATGTAATATATATATATATATATATATATATAATGTATTGCGTAATATATATTATGTAACATATATAACATGTAATATATATATTTAATATGTATTATGCAATATACGTTATATATATATATATATATATATAATGTATTACGTAATATATATTATGTAACATATATAACATGTAGTATATATATTTTGATATGTATTATGTAACATACGTTATATATATATATATATATATATATATATATATATATATATATATATATATATATATTTATATATTTGAATTTATGTATGATAAATTGGATCGTAATTTCGATTCCAATGTAATAAATTATAACCATGGAATATTAGTGTTTGATCCTTTTATATTGTATTCTTGCTCTGTCCTGACATTGAGCTCTACCTGGATTCTATCCTCTTGGAATATATATATATATATATATATATATATATATATATATATATATATATATATATATATATATATATATATATATATATATATATATTATGAATATATGATTTTAACGTTCTGAATGTCGATGTGTGAAGCTTAAATAAGCATGGAATAATACAACAAAAATGTACGTTAACAAAAAATGTATTGAAACAAAGAATAGGTACACAATATTTACAGTTAGTTTGGTATATTCTTGGGAAGACTGTTCCTGCATAATGGGTTGACTAAATCGCAGTCGGGCAGAGTCTCTGGATTCAATTTCTTAATCTCTACTATCTTCCCCGTCTTCCGGTACCAACCCATATTTATATGGTCGGTAGTCCGCTTATGTAAATTAGGTGTATCATACACAACACGATGCAAGAATATAATATTTTTTTTTCTTTTCAGTGCGCCCACGTTGCTATCGAATGTGACACAAATTCATTTTTTGGGGAATATGACAGGCCTTCTATATTACGATTGTGTATAATATGGAACGTCAATCACAGCAAATATGATGCTTTGGTTAAAAAACCGTGTGAAATCTATATAGGCGTGTTCGTGTTTTACTTACAACGTTGTATTTAGGCGGTACATGTGTTCAATTTGACGTCCCGGCGATTTGTTTCTTTTATTTTAACCAGGAAGATGGACAGAATTATTATATAAAACAAACCTGAGAAAACACGTTCAGGCCAGATGCACTTTAATAACCCACTCTCTTCCTGTACACGTCTCCTAGGCACCGTTGTCCGCTCGGTTCGTTTGCCATTTTTTCCTATATCTCCATCTTCTCAAGGCTAGTTGATAAGGAGACTAAAGCGGCTTGGTGATAGTAGTCGTATATCGTGGGGAAACAGACCTATGGGTAAGGAGAAACTCATATGAGTTCCACCTCGGAATATGTGACCGAGCGGAGCTATATCGTGTCTAATTCGCTACTTCATCGTCACCGAGGCCCATTGGTACAGTTGGTATGACATTTGCCTTATAATGTAACTGTCCAGATTTAATTTCTCGATAGTGGACGCGCACTGCTGATGAGTCCCAAATACAGGACGAAACAGCCGTCCAGTGCTTTCTGCATTCTGTTGAGGTTTCTTCTACACTCGATGAATTACTTAATTATGATTATTTCAAATCCAATTATAATTTTTATAACACACACACACACACACACACACACACACACACACACACACACACACACCATATATATATATATATATATATATATATATATATATATATAATGATAGACATATAGATCTAATTCGAATATTAGGCGTTTTCATAGAAGGAAACATTTGAAATTCGTTGAGCGAGCAGACATTACTGATTTCTGTTGAAATGTACAAAAAGTTTCTCTTAAAACAATTTTTACGGGATACAAATTTCTCAAGTCCAGTAGCTGTTATCGATCTTTCTATTACTGATGCGTTTTCCTTACCTGATCTTTTATTTGAAGTCATGTGGAATTTCAACATCTTGATTATATCATTATTTTCCTTTTGATAATGTATGCAATAATTATTGATATAGAGTGTATCTAAATATAAAAGTGGAACATTAAATAAATAATAGAGAAATTAACAAACTATCAATGCAACCAAGTATATGTCATAAACCTAATCAACAGCACTAATTAAAAAATCAATAATAAATAATAAAAAAATGTTAACAAACAAAAATGTAGATTACCTAAAAGTCATCCGATTAGGATCGACGGTCATTTTTACCAAATAGTTTCTAGTATAATTTCAAATATAACGACACCCACGCAATAACCGTTAGGGTAATACGTTTGACTACCTATAATGCACTATTGGCCAGCATATACGAGGTTTTACTGAAATGTTACAGAACTGGGTGTGCCGTGTGAGCTCTGAGCGAAAGAGGGATAAGCCTACTGTATTATAACATAAAATATCTTGGAAACATATAATTGTAACCTTAGCTTTCTGCAATAATTGCATTTTATTTCATATGCTATTGTGGCGGGAAAAATCGTGGCTGATTGACGGCGACAACGAAGCTGCTCCCAACGGGTTGAGCATCCTACAGTTCCTGGCCGAGAAGAAACTCGACGTGGCAGAAAAGGATGGAAAAGAATTAAACAAGAGGAGGATCACTTTGAAGGGGAAACCGTGTAGTTTGTTGTTTAAAATTGAAATAAATTGTTTGTAACACCAATCCCGTTCCTTCTCAGCCACAACTCGTATAAAAAGTCATGCCAAAACAAAACACATGCCCTGAAAATTGTATGAAACAATATGGCGCCGTTTAGTATTGACCTGAATATATATATATATATATATATATATATATATATATATATATATATATATAATCGACTCTCCCGTCGAGATTCGACATATGAGGGTCAAGCAGTACACCGTATGCCACAAGGTTCCCAAACGACTCTCCGCAGGTTTTGAATTCAGAGTTGTCCTTCCAAGG